GGGTCAGAGGAAGCGAAAAGCCGATGGTGACTTCTTTGCTGCTAGGTGAGAAGATGGAATTGGTCCCTGCAATGTGATTTTTGCTTGCTGGTCTGAACATGAATTTGCTCCCGGCAATGGCGTCTGCCGCACTGCCGGCGCCGAACTGACTTCCAGCGCTCTCACCCCCCTCGCCCACCCCTCTCCGACCACCCCTTCGACACCCCGGCCGCCTGTGCTAAAGGCCCGCGGCGGCGCCTCAGCAGGCGCCCCTGACCCTCAGCCAGATTGACCCTGAAGTTCTAGCGGCCCTGCCGGCCGACGTGGCCCAGGAGGTGCTGCGCGCGCTGCCGCCCGCCGGCGGCGCCGCGCTGCAGTCGAAGGCTGTGGCCGCGGCGAGCCGGCAGCAGCAGCAGCAGAAGCCGGCGGGCGGGGCCGCGGCGGGGCTGGGGCAGGGCGGCGGCGGCGAGGCGCGGGGGCGCGGCGGGCTGCCGTGGCTGTTCGGGCGCGCGGCGGCGCGGGCGGCGGCGGCGCGGGGGCCGTTTGAGGCGGAGCCGTTTGATGAGGTATGCGCCGCCGCGCGGGCCGCCGCGGACGCGCTCCTGGCAGAGTGCTGCGCGCGCTCTGCTCAGAGCCAGGACCGCGGCGGCGGTGAGGATGAGCGCGGCCGATCAGATGGGCAGGAGGGGGGCGGCAGCCAAGAGGGGGCCTTGGAAGATGCTCTGGGGCGACATGAGCCAAGGCGCATCGGCGGCGGCGGCGGCGGCGGGGACAGCGGCGGGGTCGGGGACCGGGCCGGCGGCGGGGAAGCTGGCGAGAAGCTGGACGTGCTGTTTGAGTGGCTGGCGCAGTGGTTGTGCGGTCTGGACGCGGACCTGGTGGCGGTGGCCAAAGGGCTGCGGTTCCTGGCCGGACTGCCGGACTGGATGGAGCGGCAGCAGCAGGATCAGCGCCAGCAGCACCAGCAGCAGCAGCAGCAGCAGCAGCAGCAGCAGCAGCAGCAGCAGCAGCAGCTGCAGGAGATTGCGAGCGAGTGCGCCGCCGAGGAGCGGCGGGCGCCCGCGGCCGCGGCGCTGCTGCGGCGCGCCGAGGAGCGGTGCGCGGCCGCCGCGGCCGCGGTGCGGCGGCACGTGGAGTTGAAGCTTGGGGTGGTGCTGCGGTGAGGCGCCCGTCGCGGTCCCGGCATCGCCGTGCACACCAGTCTACAAGCGACATGTCACCACATGATTGAGGTTGCAGATGTGTGCTGTGTCGCCTTATGTTTCCTTGTTGCATGTGGATTCCTCATCGTTTTTGCCGGGTTTCTGCCGCAATGCAGGCGGGGTGACCGGATCTCTGCCGCGAGGCAGGCGCAGGTGCCCATGCGTCACCCAACCCAACACACCGGCCCCAACCCAAGACGCCAGCGATGTTTGATTCCAGAACTCAATTACATGTCGTTTTGGCTGCACTGAAAAGTGCACTTTTCAGAATTTGCACAAGGTAAAGGACACGGTACGTAGCCAAACCCATGCGCCGCCGCGGCAGGCAAGCAACGCGCGAGGGGATGCGCTCACCGCGCAAATTATGGCTTTCGCGAGCTCAAAAGCAAAGGAAGATTGAGTAATCGATGACATGATGCAGTGCAGTGAGGTGGTCAACACGACGGTCATGGCAGCATCCCGCCTCCCAGGAAGCGCCCGTTCTGTGCACCGAGCAGCGCCAAGTGAGCAAGGGGATCACGGCGGCCAAACAACCCCTGAGGGCCCCGCCAGCAGGGGGCGGGGCGCAGGAGACTCCCTCGCGGCGACACGTCGTGGGCCAGGCAGCGAGGCGCAAGGGGGCGGCTTCGCGACCGCCTTGAGAGAGAATGACAGGCACCTCTCTTGAGGGGCAGAGGCCGGGGTGGAGGCACATATGCACACGCGAGAGCGCCGTTGGAAGCGTAGGCCGCTGAGAAAGACCCGAGGCCTATGGCCGGTCCACCGCCGCCGCGCTGGCCCAGTTCGCGGCGGCTGCCATCGCCACCGCCGTCAGCAGGGCGTTATGCGGGCGATCTCGGCTCGGCAGTCGGGGCACCGGTGCACCAGGTCCTTGCTGTGGAAGGGGTCAAAAAAGAGCGGTGTGGATTTGGGTCAAAACAAAGTCAGATTCGGGGGCATTCAAGGGTTTTAGGTGGATATCGGGCACAACCATGGAAGCAGAGGGGTGCACAGCAATCGCGCCGCAGGCAGGGCGCGAGCGCGGCCGCCGCCCTCTCACTCGCAGCACGAGCCGCGCGCCGCGGCCGCAGGACGGCCGCAGCAGCAGCCGCGGCAGCAGCAGCCCCCCGCGCCGGCAGCCCCGCCGCACCTGCAGTCGAGGCAGCAGGGCAGCCAGAAGAGAGGGCAGAAGAGCCAGCAGAGGCCGAAGCACTGGAGCCAGGTGCAGCAGCCGCGCTCGCGCCGCACGCGCGTGGGGCCGGTGTGGCCTGCAGGTCCGGCAGCGAAGCGGGGAGGTACCGCAGGGTTGAGGGCGATGCACCTGGGCCTAAGGGGATGCGCGAGCTAAACATGCAGCCTTGACATGACAGAGGGTCCGCTGCTCAGAGGCTCAGTGGGGCGGCGCGGCGTTCGGCCCGTTGCGGACGTGCGGGGTTTGTACAGCACGCGGCGCCGCTCACCGCACGCGGGGCAGATCTGCAGCACTGGCGCCGCGGACACGCGCTGGATGACAGGGCCCTCATAAAAGATTGTGCGCTCGACCACGGGGGGCGCGTAGGGCGCGTGGGCTGGCTGGTGTTGGTGGTGGTGCTGCTGCTGCTGCTGCTGCTGCTGCTGCTGGTAGTGCTGCGGCGGCGGCGGCGGCGTGCTGCCGATGCTGTACACGCTGGGGTAGGCGCCGCCTGCAGGTTGAGCCGGGTGGAGGGGGCCGGCATGAGGGGGGCAGCGGGAGGGTTTGGGGGTGGCCCCGGCTGCCAGTCCACGTGTCATGCAGTCGGGCGAGCGGGCAAACATGAGAACTGGATGGAGCGTGCGGAGGGAGGCTGCCCGCGCCGGCGGGGCGTGGGGCGGCTCGAAAGTGTGACAAGCAGTGCTCTGCTCTGCTGGGCACCGGGCAGCGGGACAGGCCACGCGCAGCACGCACTCAGAAACGCACCTGCCGCCGCGTCACGCAGCTGCGCCTCGTACGGCGGGTACCCAACCGCTGTCCCGGCGGAGGGCGGGGCGGAGGCTGCCGCGTAGGCAGTCTGCCGAATGACCAGCGAGGGCTGTTCGGGCGAGAGCGGCGGCGCGGTCGGCGTCGTCGCGGGCGGGTCGCCCGCGAGCAGCGGCTGCTGCAGGGGCCCAGCACCCATGGCAAACTTCAGAGAGCGCTGTGGTTTTGCGGACCGGCTGGCGGCGGCTGGGATTCACTGGAAGGCTGGTCGGAAGGACCCTGTCAACGGAGTAGAGATCAAGCGTCGACTGCGTTTGTTGAGCTAAGAGAACTATATCGTACCATCCAGGTCATTGACTTGTGGATTGGACAGGCCGAAAAGCCGCACGACCGAAGCTGCCATGTGAACTGTGCCAGCGCATGACATCCATGCACGCGGCCAAGGACTCATGACTTGCGACTCGGTTGAGGCGCATTATTTATTTCTGCCGTCTCACGCGATTTTATTTCCTTCGCAGTCTTTGCCCGACAGGGTTGTCAACTTTGTCGCTCAGCTCAAACAAGCCCTCCAAACAGCGCACACAGCGTGAAAGATACAGAGGGTTGCAAGTGTTCCGGTGTCGTGCAGAGCGAGCCTGTGGCTGCGCAGGGCGGACCTCGCACTGCACTTGCAGTTGCTGCGTCGGGTAACTGCATCCGCTTGGGTGCCATGGCGGAGCACACTGGGGCCGACGCAGAGTCACGGTGAGCGGACACTGCATGTAAAGCGCTATGAAGTAGGCCCTGCTAACACAGCGCGAGTGGGCCCTGATCTTGGAGCTATGCAGATGGTGCACAGCGCATCCCACTAAAGCCAGCGGTGCACGCTGCGTTTGCGCTACGCCCATCCTGCGCCGCAGGTGCTGGACCGACCTCCCACTGCCCTGCTGGCGCCTGCTCATGACTCACCTACACTCCAAGCGCTGCCTATTCAGCTGCAGCGCAACCTGCAAGAGTTTTTCGCGCGTCGCGGATGAGCTCGCCAAGGACCTCAGGGGCGTCCCCGCAGAAAAACTGACCCGCGCGCTCGCGCGGTTTGACCGCGCGACCAGCGTGGCTGTCGACCTTGCCGCAGCGCCGCGGCCTACGCGTCAGGACAGGGACGGCCGCAGCTCGTCGGATCGGGGAGGGGGGCCTGAGGCACATGCAGACGACAAGGGGGCGCGCGCCGCGGCCGCCGTTTTGGCTCGTCAGCTCCGCGCCGTGCCGCCCCTGGCTGCGGCCCGCATCGAACGACTGGCCGTGTCACACTGCCCCACCGACGCCGCCGACGCGCTGGTCTCTGCCCTCGAGCTCGTCGCGCCCGCCTGGCGGCGGCTGGCGCGCCTGGAGCTCGACTACACCGCCACCACTGTCGAGCTGTGCAGGGTCGGATGGCGCCCTCTTGTTCGCGCCGCGGCCGCTCTGCCGGCCCTTCACAGCCTGCGGCTCGCGGGAGCCCTGCCTGCCTCATCAGATGACGGTCAGGACAGCCTCTGGGCGGCCGGCCTGCAGGATCTCGAGCTCGTGGGGGTGCCAAGTTCGCCCTCGTTGGGATCTATTGGTCTTCTGATGGGTGCTGGGGTGGAGCACCTGTCGAGGCTGTCGTTGGCGCAGGCGCCCAACGTCTGCTTTGTAAGCATGGGACACATCACCAGCCTCAAGGTTGGAGGCGCAGCTCTGCTGGAGGGGGGTGGGTGGGTGGGCTGCCTGCTTGCA